CAAACAATAGATTTTGAGAATAGTGCTCATTTAAATTATAACTTGCAGCACCCTTAAGAAATGGAATTCAAAAAAACACTTCAGAAAAGATTTGGCACAAGTCACTGAACTACAAGCAGTTTTTGCCCTCATCCTGTAAATGAAGGAGGGGGGACATCACTCGTCAAGCAGCATTTATTGTCCATCTTTAATAGCCTAGAGGTCAGTTCAAAGCAACCACATTGCCAGACCAGGTAAGGACATTAGTTCCCCAAAAACAAATTTAGTAAGAGCAGCTTATAAAAATGGCAAGGCATGACATGTGCTAAGTACTGAACTCAATGCAACAAGCCAGAGTCTTGGAACTAGGTTAATGCAAAGTATTTGTTATTCAAGTTTATCCTCCCTCTGTTTTCAGCTTCATATTGGTCTGACTGCTCTCAAAGGGTAACACATTCAACTACATTCTGTTAGGATATGACCCCAGAGCAACATTTCAGCAGTGATGTAATCCACAAACTTGAGGACGTAAAGGAGAAAATATTATGGAAAGAGAAAATCGCATGGAATGTGAGCATCACTGGCTGGCCAGCATTTATTGCCCTAGCTACCCTTCAGAAGGCGGTGATGTGCATGCGGAGGGGGGCACAGAATTCCAGAATTTTTACCCAATGACACTGAAGGAACATCAATAATTTCCAAGTCAGGATGGTGAGTGGCTTGGAAGGAAACTTGCAGGTGGTGTTCCCATGTATCTGCTGCCCTTGTCTTTCTAGGTGGAAGTGGTCACAGGTTTGGAAGGCGCTGTCTGAAGATCTTTGAATTCTTGCAATGCATCTTGTAGATGGTACACACTGCAGCTCCTGAGCATTGGTGGTGGAGGGAGTAGATGTGGTGCCACTTAATGAGGGCTGCTTTCTCCTGGATGTTGTAAAGTTTGAGCGCTGTGCAAGCTGCATTCACGCTGAGAAACTGCACCCATCCAGGCAAGCAAAGTATTCCATCACACTCCTGACAATGTGTCAGGTAGACGGACAAGCTTTGGGGAGTCAGAACACAGGTTATTTGCTGCAGGACACAGCCTGTGACCGGCTCTTGTAGCCAGAATTCATTACTAATCCAGTTCAGTTTCCAGCAAACGGTAATCCCAGGATTTTGTTAATGGAAGAATTTGATAATGGTAAAGCCAGTGAATGTTAAGGGGTTAAAATTGAATCAGAGATAGTAGGAACTGCAGATGCTGGAGAATCCGAGACAACAAGGTGCAGGGCTGGATGAACACAGCAGGCCAAGCAGCATCATAGGAGCAGAAAGGCTGACGTTTCGGGCCTAGACCCTTCATCAGAAAAGGGGTGTTAAGGGGTGATGGTTAGATTCTCTTGCTGGAGATGGTCATTGCTCACCATCTGTGGTTACAAGTGTTACTTGCCACATCTCAGCTCAACTTGACTAGTGAGGTCTTGCTTCAGTTGACTGGACTGCTTCATTATCCAAATTGTGCAATCAAACACTTTACTGCTGACCTTATGGAGGGAAGGTCATTGATAAAGCATCTGAAGATGGTTGTGCCTAGGACACTACCCAAAGGAACTCCTGCAGTGAAGATGACCGACCAGTGACCATCTTCCTTTGTGCCAGGTAGAATTTCAGATTTTCTCCCACTTGGATGGAAAAAGGAAACAAAAGCTCCAACTCAAGTCAGTCAATCTGCAGCCAAGCCTGTGCTCAGCAAGAGCTCATGTAGGCTTTTACTTCCTTCTTCACATGCCCTAGTTCCACTCAAATATGTGGAGAAGTAAAGACATAGGTGGTGAAAAGACCATATCCTTAAGTGTTTTCCGTGTGCAGGAGCCAAACTTTGACATGGATTCCCACTCTTGTACATTCCAGACCAAAATACTTCTCTATACAAACTGGAAACCACAACTAGAAAAAAGGTCACCACAGCTTAAAAACAAGACATTAAAACAAAAGAAAAAACATTCAGACTAGTGACAATCATTTAGTGATCTTGAAATTGCAGTGAACATTGTATTCAATGAGCTTCATCTTCACTGATAATTCAAGCTGTTTTCTCAGTGTTATGACAACCAATGTTTAACTGATTCAAGTTAGCATTTCATATTCCTGGATTACAAAATAGGAAGCACTCAGTCTGAAGTTAACTGCAGCAGAACTAATGTCAGATAGACCACTGTCTGCAATACTTACAGTAAGTGTTTCAAAACCACACCATTGTCTGAAAATACAACTGGAGCCAGGATGTTGTACTAGTTGCAATCCCACCTGTTCCATTCCATCACTATTGTCCCAGCTCTCCAAAAGCAGTGCTCAGATTATTCCTCATTGTGGTTTAGTGGGTTGTTGGGTCACAGAGCAGTTACTCAAACTCAGACAAGTATTAATGCCACCAACACCTCAATTTTAGTATCACATCTCACAGAACAGTAATCCTCAGTTGATAATTGTTTTTTAATACCTTTTGTTACTCATTAAAGGCAACACACCCAGAACTGTTCTGTAAATAAAAAGTCCAAATAAAATTAGATGTCTTTGTTATGAATAGCTTTAAAATGCAAAGCATTTCCTTTGATGCAAAACCCAAAATCAGAATGTAAATAAAAAGGAGCACAAGAGGTTAAAATCCCAGTCTAAAATAGCTGGCTTGGGTGGTGGTGAATCAGGACTCCATTTGTGCAAAAATGCATTTTAAATACTGGCACTCTGCCAGTAAACAGCATGACAAAATCAATTGATGATCTTTTATTACACCTTAGTCATCATGTCCTAAAACTGGCCAAGTTAGCAGTAGTTAGGAACATTGTACCAAGTGACAAATTTGGGGAGGAAACAAAGTGGACACACCCAACCATTCATTCTTTAGAATGACTAGCCCTTCAACAGATTGTTGAACTCATGACGCAACATGGCTTCAAGGAAATCAGAACAAACCAGTGATCGCAAGTGGTGCCAAGAAATAGTTGGCATCATTTAGCCATTGGTGAATTTCTAATTCAATTTAAAATTTCAACCTGGCAGAACATTCCTCCCTAGAAAGAATCACAAGCGCACACTTAAGACTTCATTATTACTTTGGAACTAGTACACAGCCTGCAATAAATAATTTATCAGGAATAAAGGAAGAGTTAAGAGCTCAACAAGTACTCTGTAGACAATACTGGATCCCTTTATGCTGCATCTGTTAGAAGAAATCAGAAAGCCCAAGATTACAATACCTTGAGGCATCCATATCCTCACACCTGCTTCATTTGTTTTTATAACCTACTCCAAATGTTACTATCCTATACAACATGCTATTTAAGTCCTTCCTTCCTCCAGTCCATTGGAGACCAGAAACTTTTCTTCCAACTGGAAGAAGTGCTGTTTTCCAATAACCTGCATTCAATCCATATTAAAAACAGGTTGCCAATTAATAGCAGCATTGCAATCATTGTCAATTTTTTCACAAAAAGGATTTCTGTAATTTATTTCTAGCAACTCCCTATTCTGGAGTTTCTGTAATTGCCAAATTTGCAAACAGTAAAGTTAATTACAACAGCAAGAAATGGAAAATTGTGGTTATTTATAGGAGACATCCTGGAAGACTTGATCAATTCTACATAGCTTTGGACCAGCTGATCAGTGGTACACCACTGACAGGTGTTAAGAAACAGTGAAAATCTCCACTTGGTTCTGGTGTCAGTTCAAAACTGACTAGTAGATCCAAGTAATACTGATATTGGCTTCAGGCCCCAATTTTACTCCTTGGTCAGCGACAAACCACAAGTTAAACACAGGAAGATTAGTGATGACACTATTGGTACTTCATTACTTTGTTACAGTGCAAAAACATGGCTGTCATTTAAAATCCCTCACAAGATCTTACTATCTGCCATATTGTAGGGGTGGATGTCTGTAATTGAAGATTACAAGAATCAAGAGCCAAGAACAGTCCAGAGACTGATCAGCCATAATGGCACAAACTCAAGTGCATGCTCCAGTTACTAGGATGTACTGAACTACAATGTAGTACCTTCAACTGTTAACTCACCTTTTAAGGATTATCTTTCGATTAAGAACAGAATAATACCATGTTTCAAAGAAAGTTCAAAAGAAACCACTAAACATTTGACCCACTTGGGTCAAATCACATTCTGTATACAAACAAGTGCCATGTCATATACAAGTATCTCCCCAACTGCTTGAACCAAAGTTCAAACACCACACAAATTCCAGTAGTTTGTTTAAAACTGTAATAATTTTCAGTCTTTGGATTAAAAAGAATCCCCATTTCCATTTCAGTTGGCAGTCAAAATTGCAGACAGTGAAGTGAGCTTTATAGTCAAGAAAGAAGTCATTAGCTACATTTATCTGGCAGACAACTAGGATTTCACACAACAAGGGTACAGAAACATTCCAGGCTTACCATTGGTCTACACAAACAAAACGCAGCATGACAAATGTTTTCAAAAGCTGAAGAATGTCCAACAGTTGCAAGACAATTTAAATCTTCACCAGATCCATTCTGAAGAAATTCTTGGAGCTCACACCAATCCCTAAATCCGGGCCATTTCTCCTATTTTAAACTCAGTACAAGTCAACTTAAACTAACTAACTCAATTAAGACATCGACCGTAGGCAGCTAGAATTTTTTTTTTTGGAAGTGAAATACTTGAATGCAGCAGCAATATTTAGTTTTGGGAAAGTTCCTGCTACATGTAAAATATAACGACGGCCTACTTCCAAGTGGAATGATCCCTCCTATTAATATGTAGCTTAACCTTTTGGTTCAAGGGCAACACGAACAAAGACCGAGGGGGCGAGAGGAGAGAGCCCCCAGGGAATGGGGAGATGGGCCCTAGGTAAGGGTAGGGAATTGATCTGGGGGCAGGAGAGGAGAGGACAGGGCTGGGGAGAGGGTACTGATGCCCCGTCAAGGGGTATGGCCCCGGGGCCCAGCAGGCTGACAGGGGGAAGCGGGGATAAAGAAGTCGCCTCGCTGGCTGGGGCGGGGGACTCACCCTTGAACAGATAATCATACTCGTCGTCCCGGGCACCCATCGCTCTCGGCTGAAAGTTCCACTGACTCCTGGAGCCGCCTGTTTCCGCTTCCGGTGCGAAGATCACAATCCGCCAGGAATTCTCCCAGATTGTATTTCCGCCCGACCGTGCCGGAAATTGTCAAGAAAAAGGGAGTGAACCAATAGATTAATAAGTAAATAATAACCGGGGTTAATCAATACATAAATAACACTGGATTAAATGTCTGTTAAGAAAGTCGATAATAAGTTAATTACTACGTTAACTAATAAGTGATACTCTTAATAGTTCAGTTAATGATAACAGTCAACTTAATGAATCGTTTAGTCTGATAATGTAAACTGAATACTGATAATGTAAATTAGTTAATAATAATAGTGGATTAATAAATTACTTAATACATACCCTTGAAAGTCTGTTAATAAATCTATTAATTAGTCTTAACTAAATAATTAATAACAGTGTATTAATAAATTAATTTATAAACAAGCCTGTTAATAAATAACTTTGTTTATAAATTAATTAATAAAAGCTTTTGAAAAATTAGTTAATAACAGTGGCTTAATAAATTAAGTAATAAATAAGTTTGTTGATAAATTAATGAACACTAGATAAATAAATTAGTTAATAGTAACAGTAGATTAATCAATAAATCAATAAGTTTGTTATATTGTCTGGACCTTAAATTTTTTGTTTTCGTTTGGGGGCGCGGTCTGTCTACGTCATAGGGCGTGGCCACATGATGTCTTCCTTCTGATTGGACGTGGTCTCCGACCGTGACCGTGATGTCACAGTGGTGATAAACATGTAGTTGGAGCACCACCCAGCGGGTGGCTGGGGACATGATGTACATTTTGCGTCCCACCTGCACTTCCCATGGCTAACTCACACATCTCCAAACACTATGGGTCAGAATCAGGCTCCTCTCCTCATAAAGGGTGAGGAGCCTAATGACTAGCAGCCCAATATCCTTCTTGACTCTTTCTGCCATATTGTGAGTTGTTTTCTTTCTGGAATGAGAGAGAGGCAGATATTACAGCAGGTGAAAAGGGATGGCACAGCTAATTCAGTTGGTACTAATGGAATGGTGTCACAAGTAAGTGAATAGACAGCATGTAGGATTAGGGGTGTCGGGGGATTGTGGTGGGTGAGGGTGAGCGAGGGAGAATGTTGCAATCAGTTGTGAGAGCATGAGAGCGGGAGAGCATGGTAGAAGGTGATTTATGATTTTATCATCACATGTATATTACAGTGGGAAACACAGTAAAATACAGTGAAAAGCTTTTCCACTGTTGCCACGATTTTGAATACTTTTAAGAATTAAAAAAGAGCTTAAAGAGAGTCCATCAGTTGTGAGCCAGCTCACCCTAAACGACACCTGTAATGCCATCTCCCTTCCACTGCCTTGCCACCATCTACGCTGGACCCAACCAACATTGAAATTGCCACTCTTCAGGTGACCTGTTTTGCTGATTCTCCAATGCCACCACATGCACCAGGCCCAGGTGGGTGCAGTATGAGAGAGTGCGGGTGAGGTATCAGAGAGAAGATGGTGTCAGAGATAGTAGGAACTGCAGATGCTGGAGAATCTGAGATAACAAGGTGTAGAGCTGGATGAACACAGCAGGCCAAGCAGCATCAGAGGAGCTTGGCCTGCTGTGTTCATCCAGCTCTACACATTATTATAGAAGATGGTGCCAGTTACCCTGGTGGAGTGGAGAAGGACATTGACCTTCTTCCTACAGCATTGGGCATTCCTCGAGACACTGAGACCGCACTGACCCGGGAGTGGGGCTAAACTCAGTCCAGACTGGGCGTGGCCCAGTGTCAGGGCCTCCTCTGCTGGTCCCTGGGGGAAGAGAACATCCCACATCAGCACCAGCCCATTCCAGCAGGATCTCCAGATTCCTGCTCACACAGAGGGGCAGTGATTAACCCCTGTCTGTCATGTCCAGGGAAAATATCAAGAACCATGCAGGGCAGCTCTGGATTGACAGTGCTTGCCCGGATGCAGAACAGGCTTTTATAGATGTTTTGCATATTTGGAGTTTGTGATTGTCCTCCCATTGAATCCAGAAGATGTGACAGAGGCTGTGTGGTTGGAATTTCTTGAGTAGTCAGATTCCAGGTCTCACTGCTGCCCTGGATTGTGATGATGGCAGCTTTTTTGTAAACTAGGAGCTTTGGTCAGCTGCAGAACTCTTTGTTATCTCAGCCTAGTCTGTACAAGATGGATCTGGCACAGCTGATCTACTGATGGATCTACTTGTCAATAGTGGCCTTTTGAGAGAGGTGGCTGCTGAGATTTTGGAAGTATTCTATATATTCCTGGACTCACATTCAGCATAAGTGGACATTGGAATGTTAGCTATAAATCCTCATAGCTACTAACATCAGAAAAAGAAACAGATTATCTGGCTATTATTACATCCCTGTTTGTGAATGTTTGCTGAGTGCATATTAGCTGCTGTGTTTCATATGTTACAACAGAGACTACACTTGAAAAAATGATGCATTTTCTGTAAAACATTGAAACTGGCAGTGGTCATGACAAGCGCTGTATAAATGCAAGTCTTTCTTTTCAGGATCAGCTGACTCCAAAAGAGCATTATTTTAGTAGTGTAATAAGTTTTAATTACTGGTAAGTAACCTGTGCCTCTGAAAATTATTTTTTCCTGATGTGAAGTTTGATTCTTTCAGATGTTGATTTTTTTGAACATTTTTAAAGAAATTGTTGTGATTGAAAATCAATTTAAAGCATAAATAGAAATAATTGTTTCTTTTGTTTTCCATCATTCCATCTTAATCTAACATTTCTTTCTCTCTCTCTTTATGAACCAGATTTGATAGTGAATCAAATATTCCAGCAGAGACTTCCTCATTTAGATTCTTCAATTTGATTGGCTTCACAGTGACTTTCCTTCTTCACATAAGTCAAAAGTGGTTTGCTTTTTTTTAGGAATTGGCTAACAGCAACTTTTCAATGCAAGATGTAGAAAAGGTTTGGTTGACAAGTTTAACATTTGTCCAACTCCAAAATCTGACCAAGATTTCAAACTTTTTCTTTTAACAAGCATTTTTGTCTGGATATGAGAAACTAATTTCAATGTCATTTTTTATATCAGATGCCAGGACTTGAGCATTTTTTTTGGTAATCAATGTGACAAGCATCTTTCTGAAGGTGTAAAAATCACTTCATCAGCTGTTAATGTTCAACCTTTGTGCTGCTTTTAACTTCCCATGTTTTAAACGTGCATAAATCCAAATGGGCCCAATGGCCTAAACATGGATTTCACTAGTTTTAAAATCTCCCCACCCCAGGCCTCATCACATGTCCAACCCTCCCTCTTATTCCTGCCTCCTTGACCTGACACAACCTGTCCATCTTCTCACCCACCTATCCACCCCTCCCACCTCACTGACCCATCCCCACCACTGCCTACCTGCACTCATCTATCACCATCCCACCTACCATCCCCAGCCCCACCCCATTCTCTCTATTTATTTTAGAGCTCCCTTCCTCCTCCCCATTTCTGAAGAAGGGTCCTGACCCAAAACGTCAACTTTCCTGCTCGTCTGATGCTGCCTGGCCTGCTGTGTTCCTCCAGCTCCACCTTGATCTGTAATTGATTGAAGTATTAAAGAGTAAAATTTGATTTGATTTGATTTACTATTGTCACATGTATCAGGATACAGTGAAATGTATTGTATTGTGTGCTAACTGGACAATTCATACCTTACGTAAGTACATCAGGGCAATAGAACTGAATGCAGAATATGGTGTTACAGCTTCAGAGAAGGTGCAGAGAAAGATCAACTCTGATATATGAGACATCTATTCATAAGTCTGATAACAGCAGGGAGAAGCTGTTCTTGAATCTGTAGGTAAGTCTTTTCAAGCTTTTGTCTCTTCTGCCCGATGGAAGAGGGTGGAAGAGAGGGTAACCAGAGTGGAAGGGTCTTTGATTATGTTGGATGCTTTCCCAAGGCAGCGGGAAGTGTAGATGGAGTCAATGGAAGGAAGGCCGTTTTTTATGACGGACTGGGCTACGTTCAAAAGTCTCTGTAATTCCTTGTGGTCTCGGGCAGAGCAGTTGCCGTGCCAAGCTGTGATGCATCCAGATGGGATGTTTTTGGTGGTACATCTATAAAAATTGGTAAGAGTCATGGTGGACGTACTGAATTTCCTTAGCCTCCTGAGGAAGCAGAGGGGTTGGTGTGCTTTCTTGACTGTTGTGTCAACATGGATGGACCAGGATATCTTTTTTGGTGATATTTCCTCCTGGAAAGTGAAGGTCTCGACCACCTTCACCTCAGCACCATTGATACAGACAGGGCCGTGTCCTCCACTCCACTTCCTGAAATCAATGACCAACTCCTTCATTTTGCTGATGTTGAGGGAGAGATTGTTGTCTTTACACCATGGCTCTAAGCCGTCTATCTCCTTCCTGTACTCTGTCTCATTGTTGTCTGTGATCCAACCCGTTACAGCAGTGTCACCAGCAAATTTGTAAATGGAGTTACAGCAGAATTTCGCCGCACAAAGTGAGTGTATAAAGAGTATAGTAAGGGGCTGGGTAGACCGCCTTGCTGGGAATTGGTGTTGAGGATTATTGTGGAAGAGGTGTTGTCACCTATCCTTACAGCTTGTGATCTGTGTGTCAGGAATTCAAGGATCCAGTTGTAGAGGCGGGAGCAGAGTCCTAGGGCTCAGAGTTTAGAGAAGAATTTTGTTGGAATTTTGGTATTGAAGGCAGAGCTAATGTTAATAAATAGGAACAAAAACAAAGTTGCTGGAAAAGCTCAGCAGGTCTGGCAGCATCTGTGAAGGAAAAAACAGAGTTAACGTTTCGGGTCCGGTGACCCTTCCTCAGAACTGATTTTACAGCATCCGCAGTTCTTTCGGTTTTTGTCAATAAATAAGAGTCTGACGTAATATTCCACAGATGAGTGTAGGGTGATGGAGATGGCGTCTGCTGTGGACCTATTGTAACGGTAGGCGAATTGTAGCGGATCAAACTAATTGGGAGGCTGGAGTTGATGTGCGCCATTACTAACCTCTCAATGCACTTCATAATGTAGGTTGGATTTCAAACAAAGACGAGACAGAATACAGGACACAGTGCTTAACAGCATTTAATTACAATGTAGTTACAACTCAATACAGCATAGGAACAGGCTCATCGGCTCACCAAGCCTGCACCGATTCCTATTCCTTAATTAGACCTGCTATTTATTGCCCGTGCACTGTTTCTATTTCCTTTATTTGCCTCCCATTCAGGTATCTATCAAGATACACCTTAGATGTTGCTAATGAGCCTGCTTCACCACCTCCACTGGCAGTGCATTCCTGGCACCCACCACCTTCTTGGGTAAAAGATTTTCCCCACATTTCTTCCCTACATGTTTCCCCTCTCACCTTGATCCTGTGCCCTCTTGTAGTTGACTGTTCCACCTTGGGAAAAAGCTTTTGACTATCCACCCTATCTTTGCCTCTCATAATTTTATAGACCTCTATCAGGTCAAGTGTATCAATCCGAGTTTATCCAACCTCTCCTGATAACTAAAACTCTCCAGACTAGGCAATATCCTGGTAAATCTTCTCTGTACCCTCTCCAAAGTATCCATGTCCTTTGAGTAGTGTGGCAACTTTTATATTCAATGCCCTGGCCAAAGAAGACAAGCATACTGTATGCCTTCTTGACCCCCTTATCCAGCTGTGTTGCCATTTTCAGAGATCTG